CAGGTGATTCCTGTGAGTGAGCACTTGAAAGTCCCTGGGCTGGAGTCAGAATTCCTTGCTGCTTGGGGATGAGGAGTCCAGACCTCTCCCTAGGCATAGCAGTCCCCCAAGATGTACTAGAGGAAGCCGTGGCCAGCAGGAGGCAGTGCTGTCACTGGACAGCTGCCTAGACCTGGAGTATCTGGGTCAGCTCCAGAGACATTTCTCACACAGAACATGGGACCCTGCCGTGGAACATGCTGGAAGGCAAGTAGAGTTATCCTAGGCTTAGCTTTTACTGTGTACCTATTTATTTCTGTCTTTCTGGGGTTCTTACCTGGGCCTCCAGTGTGCCCCTGCAACCCTGCACCCCCTTTTGAATCAGTGCTGTGGGCGGACCAGCCCTTGAGGTTCTTTTGAGGTTTTCAGAATCAAACCCACAAACCTCCTGGAGACTAGAACATTGAGGTTTGTTTCTTTCACAGGTCCTGAGTGGACAGGGGGCCCTGGAGTCCATACAGTGAGGGGTATGAAATGGGGTGAGACACCATTATGCCCTTCAGTTTCTGCTCTTACTTGAGTTAAGCACATCTAAATTTTTACAAGTCTCACAAAAGTTTATCAGAATTAGATTTAAGAAAATTAAACAAACGGGAGTGTAAATAATACCAAATTTTAGATTCTTTGTGTCTAATAGTAGAACAGAAATAACCATTTCTGCAGATGGAGAAATTAAAGGTTTCTTTTTGCATATTGTACTGCTGATATTAAAGTTAAGCTAAATATTCTGTTATTTCTGAGAATACAAATTTTAACTTTTTGTTTTAAATATATTTTCATTTATGCATACAGACCTGGGGTTCAGACCAGAGGTGCAGGGACGGTGAGAGGATTCACCAGAGACAGAGCGGAGAGCAGAACAGGCAAATTGACCAAGTACACTGATGAGGGGAGCACTGGAGGAGACAGGAGAGGTCTGCTGTGCCATGTGGGTCACCCCCTGGGGCCAGGTATAGCTGCTAGCAATGTAGTGCTGTGCTTTACCCTGTTGTTGCACCAGGAAGAACCCCTAAAAGTATTCTCATAATTACACTTCATAAAACCTTAGCTTTATCAGAGATTTGGGCTACCATTTAAATAATGATAAAAGGGAAAGTTTGAAAATGGTTTCCTCACTGTAGCTTGAGTTACTTTTCAGAATACAATTCCTAACTTATTTTAGAGATAAACCCAACAATCTCATACATCAGGGTTTTCTCAGCCGGGGAAAATTCAAAGAAGTGCCAGACAGATGAAATTGAGTAAAATTAGACGCTTAGCCCCGTAGACATCCCCGTATGACTGAGAGACCAGAGGGACGTGATGGCTTGTCCGCGTGGCTTCAGGTGCCACCTTGAATTCCTCAGCAGGGACAAGGGCAGCAGAGAAGAGAGGTGGGACATTGGCTGGGCAAAGGAAATAGTTCTCCTCCCAGGAAAGGTAAGTGGACTCGTCCTCAAGAAAAAGGTCTTTGGGGAGAAATTTAGATAAACAGACTGAACGCTCATTTATCACAATTTGCAAAGACCAGGTCAGTTGCTCCTTCTCCTTCTTGCTGAATGCCATGCCAGAGTTCCCGCTGGAAGAGAACACAAGTAATCACAGAAGAAAATATTCACACCCAACATGATAACTCTCAGCATGCGTGTTTCCTTAGCAGGCTGGGTGCCCCGGCTGGCCTGTGTCCTGGGCACTGAGGTCCCGCTGTCCCTCTTTCAGCAGGGGCCTCCCAGCGACATGCATCCCCACAGCTGACTTCCCTGTCTGTCTCCTTGTTCCTGAATCAGTACTGACCTGTGCGCTCAATGGGCCATTTATGTGGAGGACCAAAGTTACACATGAAAAGGAACTGCAGTTTATATAAGGATTAGTCAATAATTTTGTTAATTATAAAGAAAGCAGGAATTAGGTTGAGTCAGTGAGACCCTGACTTGCCCTCCTGAGCTCCAGAGCTGCATCTCTTGGCTGGTTCAGAGGCACATTCCTGAGGGGCTGGGCCTGCTATGAGTCTCTGGCCTCAGGGAGTTTCCCTGAGCTGGGTGAGGAGCAGCCTGGGGTCCTGGCTCTGGGTCTGTGTTGAAATGGAGTCCTGGGTGCGGACTCTGGGTGCCCTGGGTGAGGGTCCCTTAGATGAGTCTTTGTGAGCACCTGCCGGCCCATGACGGTGCCTGGGCCTGCGGGGCCCACAGCTGGGAGCTTACCCCAGGGATTGCTGAGGCTGCTGGATGGCAGTGAGCCAGGCAGATGCCCTTTTCCCTGGTGCTGGGGTGACCAAGGCTGAGCTTGCCCATCACAGGTTTGACCAATGGGAGGGAAGCCTCAGGTCAGGGAAAACCCGGGGGTGGGCAGAACTTCAGGATCCCAGTCAATGTAAAGGGAGCCCCCTGGCAGGCAGCACACACTTCCCTGACCGCTCACCATGGCTTCCCTCCGGATCCTCTCCTGCTTCACCCTCATCGGGCTCTCCGTAGGTGAGTGTTGGGGCCTGAGGCATTAGCCAGGCCTGGGAGGAGAGTGGGGAAGGCCTTGATATGGCAGCAGCTCACATCAGGCCCCACTGGAAAATGGGGGATTTCCAAGGGTGAGGCCTGATTCCAGGCCAAGGGAAGTTTTGAACCCCTCGCCTGTCCCCATAACTTCAGAGCAGACAGTCACTGACTTTGCAGGAGGAGACTGGACCTTGGGGACTTTCTCAGCCCACACAACTGTGCCAGGTAGGGGGTGGAATATCAGCAACTCTGGCTCAGTTTTATATCAGAGGGTCGGTAAGTGTGGCCCAGGTGACCCTCAGAATTCCTTCTCTCAGAGAACTTAATTATTGGCTGGCTGACAGTTAAGATTTGGATTTACAAAAAGTCAGCCAACCAGAGAAAAACTAGTACCATATTATGTACACACTAGGACTGTGCTCAGGATTTAGCAAATATTAACATTCCCAGATTTCCAGTTTGATTTTGGTAGTTTTTTTGTTTGTTTGTTTTTGATTCCCACACCAAGGTCAGCATGCTTCTTGCTCCCTCCTCTCCCCTGGGAAGGGGCCTCTGCTGAGTCCTTGCCTGTCACACTGTGCCGGCTTCACACACTCACCACCGGGGGTTCACCCAGAACAGCAGGATCTGTGGGGGGGGCCTCTATGTATCCCCTTCTTGTGCCTGTCACAGCTGCTGTCCCCACTGGGGTGAGACCTCAGGTCCCTCCCTGCACAGGGACCAGCCCCCCTGCATTGCTCTGAAGCACCTGCAGGGGGCGACGCTCACAGCTCCTGCTGTGATTTTCTGTTGGTTTTCTGTACTTAAGAACACATGAGGAAAAAGACAAGTTTGGAGTCACCAGCTTGAGAGTGTGAACTGGCCTTGTCCCTGGCCCAGGAGCAGGGGCTGTCTGCAGCAAGGCCTGGGAGACCAGTGTGCAGCCTGGCTGATGGAAGGGGCTGGTCCTGTCCCCTTTCTTCCTCTAGCCAAGTTCTGGGAGCTGCTGGGATTCCTGTGTCCTGACCTAGCAGATGTGTCCTGGACATGTCAAGGGCCTTGTGTGTCCTCCCTGCTCTGCATAATCCTGTTGCCTCTTTGTCTATTTGTTTGTTTCCTTCATGTATCTGCCGATAGTGATGTCCTATCTTATTACACAATTAAGAAACTTCAGTTAAAGACATAATATCCAGCAATGTAAACCGGTAGAGGTCACATCCTCCAGGATATTGTTAGAGAGAGTGGGATTTCAAGTTGCCTTGTGGCTCACTATTTTAATTCTGTACTTCCCGACCACAGCTTTAGTACATTTGAGTACATGAGTAGCAGTGTTTGCTTCCCATTTCTTGAGTAAAATGAGACTGAGAGGGTCAGAGGAGGCTGAGGTTCCAGTAGGGATACTGTGGGGAACCAGGGATTCCTCAAGATGTGTTTGTTGTTTAGGTAGGGGGACCCGGATGGAGCCGCCTGTCCTTCTGCATCCCTGGGGGTGACAGGCCAGCAGGCAGGGGTGTGTCTTCCAGTCTAGGTGCTGGGTGCCAGGAGGGAGTGTGGGTGGTGATGTGCTGGCTGAGGGTACAAGCAGGTTTCTGCAGACTGACTGCACCTCCCCCTCCCCCCTGCCCCGTGACCCCAGGCTCTGGGGCCCCTGACAGTGACCCAGAGCTGATCATTACACCCAGGATCATCAATGGGACGGACGCTCGTCCTGGTGACTGGCCCTGGCACGTGTCTCTAGTGGTGAGCATGGTCTGCCTTTGAGTGGTGTTATAATGGGTTACAGTTCCATCTGGATTGTACCCAAATATATCTGAATAAAGATCTGTTAGAGTATACCTTCTCTTCCTCTTACAGACTTCCAAGGGATGCTTGAAGTGTGGGGGCTCCCTGATCGACAGGTTCTGGGTGATCACCGCCGCCCACTGCAATATCACGTGAGGCCCAGAAAGGCCTATGCAAGGGAGGGTGGTGGTCTCCCCTTTATTCTTACTGCCTGCTCCTTCTAGGACCTCTATGCGAGTTGTCACCGGGCTGTTTGAAGTAAACACCTCTGATGCTAACGTTGAATTTCTGAGGATTGCCCAGGTATTTCAGACTAACTGATGGGGTCCTGTGGGTTTGAGGTCACAAGCAGAGAAGACCCTTCCACTCGGGAGACTAGAGCCACAGATGGGCCTCAGTTCTTGCGATCTTCCTGCATCTGTGTTACCTGTACTGGCTGCCCAGTGCTCACCATCTCCCCTCCTCATCTGTGACCTTCCCCACAGGTTTTCATACACCCCGAATTCAACTTGAGCACAGTCTACAGTGACATCGCCCTGCTGAAGCTGGCCTCACCCGCTCATTTTCATCAATCAGTGTTCCCTGTTCCCCTGCCCAGTGTTGGTGCCTACTTCCGTCCTGGAACCTGGTGCAGAATTGTGGGCCTGGGGCACCTGTACCCCAATAGTGAGTGACCATGGTCTTGCCTCTCAAGAATTAGAGCAGTAGGAAGACCAACGGCTCCGTTTTGTGGGCTTGCTTGAACTTGAGAGTGTCCTAGCTGTGTCTGAATCTCAACAACCGCCTCTTACTGACAACCTAGGGAACCCCTAGGTCCAAGGCCAGGATGTCCTTGACCTGTCAGGTTCTGCAGTCACAGCCCATTCCCAGTGGACCCTGCCCCACTCACCCTTCTCTCAAGTTTTGGGTCGAACCAGCATGACTGGGGTGGTCAGATGCATCCAGCCCTGGCTGGTGTCCCCGCCTGGGGCCTCCCTGGTGACTGTGCTCCTGGAGCCCTGACTGCCAGTCCCCTGCCTTGTCCCCTGGGCTAGGCCCCTTCTTGGCCAGCATAGAGCAGCCAGGCAGGGGCAGCAGAGAAGGCCGCTCCTGTCAGCACTGTAGTGGCATGTCCATTCAGGAG